CTCAGGAACGAACTGGGCTGAGAGAAACCAACTTGGAATGCATTCCTGGTGCTAAAACAGGAACAGAAAAGCCTCGGAGTGGAGGCTGGACCCCGCGCCATTGTAAGCCGCGATTTGGGTTTCCCGCCGCACGGTGGCTGGCTGCCTCTACAGTGGCTCGGCAAGGAGAGAGACGCGCAGAAGCTCTGAGAACAGAAATCTGCGAACGGCAGGGAGGCGTGCACTGACTTGTGGTGAGGTGAGTGAGAGAAACTGACTTTCTACCACAGTTCGACTCCAGCAGAGGACTTTCTGGGCTTGAGCAGTCCTGCGGGAGCAGGGCGCGGTGGCGACTCCAGCCACACATCCCCCTGTCGGGCGGGATTGGTGAAAAGTGCCTGGCCTGCGTGATGCTGCTGGCGGACCTGGTAGACTGTCCCAACCCAGATCCCAGAGCCTGACGGTGGCCGGGAGGGGAGACGCATAGGCTGCCTGGTCCTTAACTCCCTGGTGCGCAGCGGTGAGCGGGAACACCTAACTGGCGCAATTCGATCAGGCTGTGGCTGACTGGGAGAGAAGCTGGGCCTCTTATATAAGCTTGCATATATAAGGAACAGAGAAGAAGAGGCAGCATGGGAAGAGGCAGCAACAAGAAAGGCTCCTCGGCCCCCAATTCTGAGAAACAGGCAATAGCAGACACCGCACCAATATACATAAGGCACCATATAGAGAGCCTCATAGACCAATTCAGGAATGAAGTTATCAACGACCTGAAGCTAGAAGTATGCAGAATAGTTAGAGAAATGCTAAGTACCACCCAAGAAAAAACAGGCGGTGGAGTGGAAGAACAGAAAAAAAGGGGAGAATTGTTTGATGGAGAAAACAGAGAAAGCATAGAATACGTGAAGCAGGTTCAAAGGGACTACCAAGATACTAAGAAGTCTATAAAAGACTGGCATAACAGCTTGAAAGAAACTAAGGACAGACTATCTGAACTGGAGGGCAGACTTGTAATATGGGAGAATGAAATGAAAAACTTCTTAAAAATAACAAAAAAACAAACAGCAATAATACAAAGACAAGAAGATGATAAGAGGATCCATAACTTAAGGATTAAGAACATAAAAGAAGAAGTAGGGACACAAACGAGTGAACTACAAAAGCTACTCACAGAAATAATCCAGGAGAATTTTCCTAATTTAGCAAAAGGTAAAGATACTCAGATGTATGAGGCATACAGGACCCCAGCTACCTACAACCCAAACAGAGCAACACCCAGGCATATAATAATAAAAATTCCAGAAATTCAATACAAGAACAGAATATTAAAAGCTGTAAGAGACAAGAAACAGACCACTTACAAGGGAACACCCATCAGAATTACAGCAGATTTCTCTGCACAAACCATCAAATCACGAAGAGCGTGGGGGGAAATAATTCAAGCTTTGAAAGATAATAATCTCCAGCCAAGATTGAGATATCCTGCACAACTGTCCCTGGAAATTGATGGAAAAACAAGGTGCTTCCAGGATAAAGAGGAACTGGGGGAATTTGCAACCACCAATTCAACTCTACAGAGAGTATTGCAGGATATTCTAAAAAAAGAAAAATACAAAGAATCCAGAAATAATGGCAGAGAGGCCACAACGAATGGAGCAGAGAACAAAATGAAGAAGACAAACTGACAGCTACTGACAGAAAAAGAGCTCAACAGAAATGAGGCAGAGAAGATTGGATGATAGGAACAGCTATTTTGGAGAAAATGACATCTTAATAGGTAATACTGATTTAGTATCATCTTGTTTTGAAGTCTCATCTAGCTTTTGTCCTTCTGTCTCTAATGGTCTAAATAGGTTGTATCTTACTGGATTTTATTATGTACGATAGTATAAGCAAAAACCTTGTAAAGACAAGGAGATTATACAGAAACCATTATTCATTTTCTGTTAGTCGATTCTAAATACTCTGTAATGCTGTCATTCTCTTGAATGGTTTTACATTGTTTTGATATACTTAATGCTACAGTATATGAAGTTGTACTCAAGGATTTCAAAGAAAGAGACAATATGGTAACTACTTTTAGGTTAGGATTATCTGATGGTGAAACACTATTCTGCTTAAATGGTTATGTTTTGATCTGCACTGTTTCGTTGTTATGCCCTCTTTTATCTCAATCTCCACTCCATTATTTACTTTTTTATCTTTATCCTTTTAATTAAAGGAAAAAAATAGCAGGATATATTATAGTAACCCACTTTGACTTTTCATTACCTTGATTTAAAGCCCTGTATTACTCTCACCATCTGGTTTTTAACTGATGTTCCCCTATTCTGTTTTGCTGGATAGTATCAGGTTCGAAAGTTTAGGCATCAGCTGTGAAGATAATGAGATTCATTATGACGCCCATTCTTGTTGACTTTTATCTACTTTTGAAGACCTACAATGTCTCCAATGTTTTGGTTTTGTCGGTTTTATTCTTTACTGTTTTGTTCAATTGTATTATAACTAACGATATAGGCAATTCTATTAGAGATAGCGGGAGGCATTATAGTAACCATTGTTGATCACCTTGTATTATGTTTTTACATTATCTATTATGTCCACCCTTTTGACTTGACCAATTCTGTTCTGTTATGTCACATTTGGTTTTACTCTCTTCCAAAAAAGTAATAAGAACAGTGGGAGCAATGAAACCCAAAATGTGTAATAGTCATGGTACAAAAGAGAGGAAAAGAAAGTGCTCCAAACTATATAACTGCATGTATATTTAAGTGTATAAGATAGAAAATGATATCACAGAGTTTTATTGGATCAATGAACAGAACTGTTTGCAGTATCATTGATGGAATGTCCACTTTACAAGCTTTAATTTTGTGACTTGAACAATTATTTCTAAGATGACAATATGTAATCCATTAACTAGTGATTTCCTACTGTTCATTTTTTTTCTGTAAATCTGTATAACTTGTACCCTTTCCCTGCTTTTTTTTTCTTTTCTCCTTAAATAAAATTAAAAAAAAAATTGCACATACCCATGGTTATTAGTGCATCCTCAGAGCTGTCCACACATTTTAGAATGTTTTCATTACTCCAAAAAGCAGCATCACTCAGCTTGGTCCTCATTCACAACCTCCCCAGCCCTAAGCTTTCTGTCTCTACGGATTGGCCTATTTGGGACATTTTATATGAATGGAATCATACAAATATGTGCTTTTTCTTGTGGCAGGCTCCTTTCATTTAGTATAATTTTTCCATCTTTATACAATGTGGAACATATCTCAGTGCTTCATTTCTTTTTATCATTAATACTCTGTTGTACTTTCTTTTAAGCACAACTTTTTTTAGTACTTTTTTTAAGCACAGGATGTTGGTCTACTTTTTTCTCTCCCACCAAACAAACTCAGTTTGTCATGTTTCTAGAAAAAGGTGACAGTAAGTAAATGTTGGCTGAGCTTTGAGAGGGTGGCAACCACGTTTAGAAAGCTGCTTTTCATGAGTAATTTTATTCGCTCAGTTCCCTTGGTGTATTTAGTATTTCTGACTCATAAACGGAAGTGATTCTATTTTGGCATTCTTTCTTCCTCCTGTTTGGTCTTTACTGACTTGCTATGTTAAATTATGCAAGTTACTTAAACTCTGTTTATTTAACTCCTGCCTGCTCCGTAAAATAATCCCAGTCCAGCTTGCTTGTTTGCCAAAGCTGTTTGAAGACAATTTTTCATATGATATGGATCATCAGCTCCCACAGAAAGCAAAAAGAATTCGATGTGTGGGGGTAGTCTGGGATCCAATCCAAAATTAGTGCTCATCTGGAAGAAATATGGAAGCCTGATGCTCGCTAGCTGGCCTTTTAGTCATTTTCGGTTACTACCTTCCTTCTAAGGAACTTCATAAATCTCTCTTTTACGTTTGATTCCATACAGGATTAGCTTAAAAACACCGCAAAAGATTGGAAAAAATCATCTGATATCCTCAATTTGCCAACTGTGAATCGAAGACAGCACTTTGACCTAGTTTTGTGATCTGGGGAAGGACTAAGCATATCATTCAGGATCTGTCCTCATTTGCCAGGAGACAGAGCTCTCTAGGCCCCAGTATGAGATATAAAAATCTAGCTAGATTTCAATTATCATTCATCTACTTATGCGGTATGCTTTGTTTTCAAATGATACTCTAATGGAGAGCTCTGGTGTGGTACCTAAAGCCCAGTGAATAAATGCCAAGAGGAAAAGAAGTAAAAATGAGATTTCTGCTAAGTGGGCCCACAGCCGCAGTTACCTAAAGATTATTTTAAGCTGTGTCTTAGAGGATAATCAAAGGATAACTATGTAGCGAGTGGCAGGTAAACTCTTCTATTGGGCTTCCTTGGAATGAGTGATTGTGCAGCCCGGCTCACAGGTGTGGGAGAGGTAGCTGTGAAAAATCAATCTCAACAGGTGGGCTGGAGGCCTTGAACACGATTCTAGGGACTCTATTTTTGGTACTTGGAGCAAAAAGCCAGTGACGATCTCTGGCAAAGTGTACATCGAAACTACACTTGAGGACAATTAACCGACGGGAGGCTGGAGGATGGATTGGCAAGAGGGAGACTGGGAAACTAACCAAGAGGGAAGGATGACAGTCCAGTCGCGGGAGAGGGAATGGAAAGGAGGTGATCGACGTCTGCTGGAGGTTCTGCTCTCGCTGTGTAGGAAGGCAGGGAAGGGGCAACCCCTCATCACCGAACTCCCTCTCGGGGTGGCCGATGGGCGGAGCCAACGTTACAGTCGCAGCCTCCAGTGACGCCAGGTGGTCTTCCCGAGCCTCCTATTGGCTGTTCCTGCTGCCAGTCCCGAGAAGGGGCGGCCCTGGCCCCGCCCCCTGGGGGGTCCGAGTGAGAACCCGGAGTTGTAGGGAGCCCCGGCCGGGCGCCAGGGCACTTCGGAACTCGCACTAGAGGTAGGCAGGTGGGCAAGGCCCGGAGCCAGGGGGCGACCTCACATGTCCTCCGCCGGGGGAGCCCTGCCTCTCGGGAGCGCGCCGCGGGGGGCTCGCGGGGCCGAGGACGGGGGCGCGGCCAGCGCCGCCCCGCGCGCCCTCCTAGCTCGGCGTCCGGGCTCTGAGGGTCGCTGCAGGGTGGGTGGGGGCCGGCGGCCCTACGTCCCCGGGCTCCTGTGACGTTCCGCTGAAGACCTTGGCCCCGGCTCGCGGCTGCCGGGAGCGCGAGGTGCTGGGCGCCAGCGGCAGCCCCGGTCCCCGGTCCCCACTCCCCACGTCCTCGAGTCCCCGAGGCCCCGCGCGATCAGGGATGTTGCGGCGCGGTCCCGGCTTCTGCGGAGCCCCACTGTGATCTCCGGGGCGCAGCTTCTCAAAAGGTTACGGAGCCGTTTTCTACACCTCGAGTAGTCGGAACGTCAGCGTGCCTTAAGGTGACCACCCCGAGCTGCCAGTCGCCTGCAGTTAGCAGACCACTCTTAGAAAGACCATTTTAGCCGTGCATCGCGCGCTGCGGGAAGAGACGTGGAACCGTTTGCCCCGCAGACGCGTCGAGGCTGGGCTACCTGCAGGTCACTGCTTTCTCTGTGAAAATTGCAGTCTTTGCCAGCCTGGACTGCACAGCAGTGTGTCCCCAAAGACTGGGCTGTTCTGTAGCAGGCTGTTCTGGGCAGTGCCACCCAAGGACAAGCTTGGCAAAAGTGAGGTTAGGTGGTGGTGGTAAGGTTCTTTAAACAAGGAGTGTCTTGGTCTGGTTAAAAAAGACTTTTCTGCCTTGGGGGCGAAAATACAGTTACCTGGCAGTCCAGTCAATTTGTCCTTTAAGAGGAGAGAATTTAAGAATATAAGAGACTAACCCTGAACTTTAAAGGGGAGGACCTAAGTACATGAATTCTTTCACTTCTTTTTCTTTCCTTTTTGAGATTTGGAAGAGAAACAGGAAGTCAGAGATTGAGAGAAAAAGAGCATTCACTCCACAATTGTAAACAGTTTATTTTGTGTCAGTAAATATTTTCAAAAGTTATTCGAAGTATTTGAAAAACCAACACTTTTCTGTTTCCTACAGAAAAGGTCGATCACTGTCAAATTTAAAAATCTAGGTATATTTATTTAAAAATTGATTCTAGCTCCTCAGGTTGTAGAACACTGTAACGTCAGGGGGACTGCAAAAGGATGGTGAGCAGTGTGCCAAGTTAAAATTCTTAACTACTCAAGATGTGCACTAACACAACAGTTGCTTTAAAGTTGTTAACTGGCTTCCCCTAGAGAGTGAAATAAGGAAGTCAGATATATAACCCCCAGTGGGGACTGTGGTCCAGTCAATCTACGGTTGTGAATTATTCTATTATTATAACCCAACTAATAGAGACTGCAGATGTTAAATGCTGATTTCATAACATTCTTAAGGCTTTATTAGTTCACTGTAAAATACACAATTAGTATAACTAAAGAAATAGGTTTACCTAACTTTAAATGAATTGTGTCATTTTTACAACAGAGTACTCTAGGTAAGATATGTGTATTTTATTTTTCATATTTGAGGTTATTTGATTATATTTGAATTAATGGTGAAATTTTTGGCAGGGTTTCTTAACCACACACAATGGGTTATTAAATCTGTGAATGTGGTTAGCAGACCACATTCTATTGTATTAGTACATATCCATTTAAACTGCTGCTTCTTTCTGTAGTGATTTGTAAGTATATGATTTTGCAGGGGATATATTTCACAAACTTTAAAATTTACCCTTTCAAGTTTTATAATTCCATGATTTGTAGTAGATTTGCAAGTACCCTTGAAGTATATGAATCAGTGATATTTAGCATATCCTCAACCATCACCACTCTTTAATTCCAGAATATTTTCATCATCTCTGAAAGAAACCTCATGTCCCTTGGTAGTCAGTCTGCTTTGCTTCTCTGCCTTCTACTTTCTTTGAAATACAGGATTAGAACCCAGAGCTGTTGGGCTCAGCTATATCCCAGCTCTGTTTGCCCTTAATTTTTTTTTTTAAATTTTGGCACAAGGTTTTGCTAAATTGTCCAGACAGGGCTCAAACTTGTAATCTTCCTGCTTCAGCCTCCCAGAGTGATGGAATTACAAACATGTGCCACTAGTCCTGGCTTTGCTGTCTCCTTAAAAACCCTGGAAACCACTAACCTGGTTTTTTTTTTTTTTTTTCCTTTTTGGATTTTCCTATTCTGGACATTTTATACAAAGGGAATCCTATAATATGTGGCCTTTCATGTCTGTGTTCTTTAACTTGAAATGATGTTTTTGAGATTCATGTATTGTTGTAGTATATAGTAGTACTTTATTTTTTATGGCTGAATAATGTTCTCATTATGGATATGTCACATGATTACCCATTGTTTACTCATTCATCTGGTGGTAGACACTTGGATTATTTCCTCTTTTTGGCTGTTGTGGATAATGGTGTTATGAACATTTGTATACAAATTTTGCTGTGGACAATGTCTTCAGTTCCCTTGCATGTATGTTTAGCATTGGATTTTCTGGGGCCTACAAAATCTTTATGTTTAAACTTTGGAGGAACTGTTAAACTGTTTATATAGCAGCTCCAACATTTTTACAATACCACCAGCAATGTATCAGGGTTCCAATTTCTCTACATTCTTACTAACACTTGTTAGTATATATTCTTTTTCACTTTATTATATTTATCGTGTTTGATATGAGGGTGGAATGTCATTATGATGTTTCACTTTCCCTTATAGATAATGATGTTGAACATCTTTTCATGTGATTATTGGCTATTTGTCTTCTTTGGAGAAGTGTCTACTTGAGTACTTTGCTTACTTATTAATTGCCTTTTTATTAAGTTTTATGAGTTCTTTATTTTTTGCCTTTATTAATTGCCTTTTTATTAATTGAGCTTTTGGTCCTTTATTTATTTTTTTTAGACAGCACCTCATGATGTAGTTCAGGTTGCCCAGGCTGGCCTCAAACTCATGACTCTCATCCTGCCTCTACCTTCTGAGTACTAGAATTACTTTGAATGTACCACCACATCCAGCTTTGTGTATATATAGGATCCAAAATATTTTCACTTGTTTGTGGAAATCCAGTTTTCCCTGCTCATTTGTTGCAAATACAGTTCTTTTCCCCAATGAATTGTCTTGGTACCCGTGCAAAAATCAGTTGACTGTAAATGTGAGCTTTTATTTCTAGACTCAACTGATGTATGCGTCTATTCTTACACAGATACGCTTATCTCTGAATACTGTGGCCTTGTAATAAGTTTAGAAATTCGAACAAGCAAGTCCTCAACTTGTCAGGATTGTTTTGACTATTCTGGATCCTTTGAATTTGCAGGTAAATTGTAGGGTGAACTTGTCAGTTTCTGCAAAATATTCTATGAGAACTTTTGTAGTGATTGATTTGAGTATGTTAATCTGTTTGTCTTCCAAATATAGTATGCAATATGCAGTTTTATTAACTTTATTCCTAAGTGTCTTGTTCATTTTGATGCTATTGCAAATGGCATATTTTAGTTTTGGGATTTTCCTTGCTAGTGTGTAGAAAAATTGAGCTTCATACATTGATTTGGTTTCCTGAAAGCTTGCTAAACTAGATCTGATACCCTTTTGTGAATTCGTTAGGATTTTTTAATAAATAATCATTTCATCTGAAAATAGCAATAGTTTTTACTTTCTACTCAACCTGGATGCTTTTGCATTATCTTGCCCTGGCTAGAATCTCTAGCACAATGTTGAATAAAACAATAAGAGCAGACATCCTTGTCTTGTTACTGATTTTAGTGCAAGAAGTGTAAGTCATTTACCAGTATTTGTGTTGTTAGTTTGGCTTTTGTAGATGTCCTTTTTCAGGTTGAGAAAATTCCCTGACATTGCTAATGTGTTGAATGTTTTATTATGAAGAAATACTGGGTTTTGTCAAATCTGTGTGTGTGTGTGTGTGTGTAGTTGAAATGACCAGGTGTTTTTTGTCCTTTTTTCTATCAGTGTTGTGCATTACTGGTGTTTATTTCCATTTGTTGAAAAAAAGTATTCTTTATATTATTTTCAAAACTGTAGCTCAGAGGTAGAGTACTTGCTTAGTCCTGGTTTGACCCCCCAGCTCTGCAAGCAAAATAAAGCAACAAAACAAGACAAAACAACTTGTATACATTTTACACTAGAACATAAATGAGCTATTCAAAATGTAGAACAAAATTTAATTAACATGAAATAGACTTCTTATTGCTTACGATACACAAGAGTTCTTATGTTTCTGTGCAGTTATAAGAGTGACTCAAGAACTAAGGGTATCTGTTTGATGATGATTTTTATTTTTTAATATTTTATCATGTTTTTCCTTCCCTTTATGGATAACAATTAGAGAAATGAAGTAGCAGTGGAATGGTAAAAAAGCTTTTGATTGACAAACTGCTTTATCTATTCTTAAATCATTGATAGTAAATGGTAATGTGAATAATTAATAGAAAATACTAACATGGGAATTGAAAAGGACCATGAGAAAGGCTAATAGTCAAAAACAAAAAGAGAGATACTCAGAAAACAGTAGGGAAAAGATTCTGTAAAAGCAAAGACAGTGAATTTTAGCCCTGCAATTTTAAGTTTCTTTCAAACTATGGCAGAAATTAGGGGCATCTGCAAGCTGGTTAGGGTACTCTTAATAAAAACTGTAGCCTTTGTGGAACAATTCAGCTTATATTACTTATTTCTAAATTATTATGAGATTGTGTCAGTTCACAATTAATGTGAAAACTGACATAAACACAAAAATGTTTATCCTAGGAAAATAGTCTTTACTAAATTTTTAGCAGTATGTGGTTTTTAAAAATTGATATGGGGAGGGGCTGGGGATTTAGCTTAGCGGCATAAGCGCCTGCATTGCAAGCAGGCAGTTGTGAGTTCGATCCCTGGTACCGATAAAAAAGAAAAAGACAAAAAAAAATTGATATGGGTTTAGAGAGTTGGGTTGTTACACTAAATAAGTGGAAAATAACTTTAGCTATATTTTTGTAAAACAAAATAATAGAATAGTACATTTCAACTGCAGCACCATTCATAGTTCTCAGAGTTTTGCTGTCACATGTTTTCTATGACCAGGACTTGGCTCGTGCAGAAGATCCATCCTAAAGCAAATTTTATCAGTTTATAGCAAGAGCAATTCAGAAGGGGGAGATGGAAGGCAGAGTAGGGAAAGAGAGGATCAAAGATCACGATGCAATGCATATACAGTATATACCAGTTCCACAGGGTGAATATATCCATTATGTATTGCAACTGCATACTAAAATTTCTTAAATTATATAGAGCAAAAAAAGATAAAGGAATACATTATTACACTACTTATTAAATTAGCCCATTAAACATTAACAAACATTTTATACTGCCTTCACGGATCTCAGAGCCAGAAACAATCATGCTTCCAAAATCAAATAATAAATTAGAATTTCAGAACCAGTTCCCTGGCCTCTTGTCCTTTTCCTTACAGTATTTGTCCCTGAGATTAATTTCCTCCAAAAGGAATGTTAACATCATGGAAAATATGGATTCCGGATTTACTTCAGTAGATGATTCCAAATTTCATATTTATATGTTTTTTCTCACACAGCTTTTATGCAAACCTGTCAGGATCAAAATAACTTACCTAGTTCAGAACTTCTGGCTTGAAAGACTTAGCCCGAGCCTGAGCAAATTTAGAGTAATGCTAAGTAAAAATTACTACTAAGTTATACTACAAATCTAAACAATAACTGTAGCATTCTTCTATTTCTTTACTTTGTCCTGCTACTGTCTGCATCAAGCTGTGAGACTTTTGTGAGTTTAAGAATATGGTAAAAATATGAGTTGATAGATTTAAAACGTCTAACTGTTCAGCAGTGTTAAAACAATAATTGTGGGGCTGGGGATTTAGCTCAGCGGCATAAGCGCCTGCCTTGCAAGCAGGCAGTCGTGAGTTCGATCCCTGGTACCGATAAAAATGAAAAAGACCAAAAAAAAATTAAAAAAAAAAAACAATAATTGTATTTTGTGCTGTGCTATTATATCATCTGTTTTGTTAGAAATGACAATATTTCACTTGTTCTCACTGCATACCTGAGAGGAAGAATGGTTTGTGATGCTCAGCATTCCCGTTTTTCTGGATTGGATAAACTGAGCCCTAGAAAGTTTAAATACTAGCGCAGAAGGGCTTCTACCCTGATCTCTTGTCTTCCATTAGACTCATAACAAGGACTGGGATGTGTCTTAAGAGTTTAAAACTTGTTTCTGAATATCATCGAATCAACTTATATGTTGGGAAGATTAATAGACTTCTTGAGTGCTAATGTGGTGTGCTGTTGAATGCTTTCTTCTTAGAACAAATATGGCCGAGCTTTCTGAACCAGAAGGACCGGTGGATTGGAAGGAAAGATGTGTAGCCCTGGAGTCTCAGCTCATAAAATTCAGAGTTCAAGCAAGCAAGATAAGAGAGCTTTTAGCAGAAAAGGTAAGCTTTTATCTCTATCCTTTGCTATTAAGTTTCACCTACATGCGGTCTGGTTTATATATATTTTAAAAATCTTTGGGGAGTTTAAGCACCTTTAAAACAGTAGTATAATTTGCTAGATATGGTAGCACATTCCTGCAATTTCAGAAGTCTAGGAGGCTGGGGCAGGAGAATTGCAACTTTGAATTCAGCCTGAGACCCTGTCTCAAAAATTTTAAAGTTTGTGCGTGTGTGTGCGTGTGCACAAAGACTCTGGGTTCAATTCATAGTACCACCAGAAAATAAAATAATTGCATAACTCAACTTTTTGCCAGATGTATTTGAAGCTGAATTTGCTATATTCTGTCACTGGTGTTAGGGAGAATTAGTCAGGATGAAAAACATTTGTTTGCAAATACTGGTATATTGTGTGGAAACTGTATTTGATGAATGTAGTTCATTTATTACAGAGAGAAAAGCTGTTATTCTTTATTTTAAAGAATTCAATAGCATTTTGATTTACTAAATGTTGAAGGATATCATTTAAAACCGATTGTGGAAGAAAATTTCCTTGATGGTAAAATATATTTATAATTATCTGAAATTATGCACTATTTAGGAATTTGTATTCATTGATTATCATCTGGGCTATTTAGGACTTTGTATTCATGGACTATCATCTGCGCTACGATTGTGTTTACTATAATTGTATGCTTCTGTGTTTGTCTTTGAGACAGAGTCTAGCTCTGTAGTTCAGGTTGGCCTTTGATTCACCGTGGGGCCACCTTGAGGCTGGCCTCGAACTCATGACAATCTTTCTGCTTCAGCCTCCTGAGTGCTGGGATTGCAGGCTTGCACACCATGCCCAGCCTGGCTTCTCTTAATAGTTCTAACAATGTAATTAGAATTTTATGTCACAGGAATTTTGATTTTGCAAATATTTGCATAAAACCAATAGTTTTGTTTGTTCATTCATTCAACAAATACTTGTTGAAGGCTAAGTATGAGCCACATATGGTTTTTAATACCAGAGTGACATCTGTGAATAAGACAACCCATATTTCTGATTCCAGAGAACTTGGATTCTAGATCTGTGCTGTTAGGGCTGGGGATTTAGCTCAGCAGCTTAAGCGCCTGCCTGGCAAGGCTGAGGTTGTGAGTTCAATCCCTGGTACCAAAAAAATCAGTAGATCTGGGCTGTTTAAAATAATAACCAGTAGCCACATGTGGCCATTGATAACTAACTTCAAATTGAAATGTGTGGCAAATGTAAAATACAAATGAGATTTCTGTGAAACACATTTCAGCAATACATTTTTTATTGATTATGTTAATACATACTTTGGGTGTTGGGTTAAGTGGACAATGTTCAAATTAATTTTCTCTGTTTTTTTAGTCTTTAATATGTATACTGCAAAATTTTAGGTGACTCATGGGGTTCACATTGTATTTCTAGCTAGTAATGTCCAAATAGGTGGGTGAGTGATATTTATGGTGATTTAAAACTGATCAGGAGAATTTGTAGGTGGTTTCTTAAACTCTAGTCTGTATAATCCTTTTGGAATGGAGACTGGTACACATATCACATTTCCAAAAAAGGTCTTAAATCTTCCTTGTATTGTTTTCCAAGAATGTCTTAGAAGTATTCTAATAAAATCCAATGAAATCATCATTCCATTTAAATCTTCATTTTCATCATCATAAATATTTGTACTTTAACATCTTTTATATGGGAGGACTAAGGTTATGCTTTTCTTTTTTGGCTTGGTGGAATAAACCCACCATGCACTACACTGTAGTTATTGATATTATAATAAAAATTGCAACTTGAAAAAAATTCCCACTTCGAATATTTTCAAGTTGGGGAAGCTCATCCTAACTCACAGCTGTGATTCATCTTTGTCTTTTGCTCTTTTATCTGTGAAAATCATTTCCACCTTGTGCCGTGATCTATCTAGTATTTTCCGCAATCCCAGCCCCCTCACACAGTGATTGTGCCTGGATCCATCAAGTCTGCCCTTGTTTCTGAGCCTCCTGGACGCTGTCCAGTTGCTGCCCTCGCCTCTCACTGGCTGACACTGCTGAGTACAGCCTTCTCATAATTTTCGTGTTTTCTTTGACTTCTATATGCCTGTAGTTTTCTTATGGGTTAAATAGAAGTGATATTGATCTGGGTTCCAGTTTGTTGACCTTTAAATCTTATGACCACATTTGTCGTGATCTTTAGAAAGCACAATGCCACAGGTTTTTCTTTTTTATGAGTGTCCTTTTTTAAAAATTATTAAAGGATTGTTTTCTTTGTAAGTAAAATTTTAAGTAGCTTTTAAAACTTTTCAGTCTAAGTGCCATTTGATTTAATGTTTTCTTTAGAAATAATAAAGAGGAATAGTGCTATTTTAGTTGTAGTTTCTTTTTTCTTGCTTTTTTTTTCTTTTGGTCTGTATTTTGTATCTGTGACTGTAATCCTTTGACAGTTCTAAAAGATGGAATTACTTGGGGGCTGGGGATTTAGCTCAGCGGCATAAGTACCTGCCTTGCAAGCAGGCAGTCATGAGTTCGATCCCGGTACCGATAAAAATGAAAAAGACAAAAAAAAAGATGGAATTACTCAGAAGCATTTTACATATTGGAAAGTAGATAAGTATGCCAAGTTACTCATGGTTTCCAATAAATATGTGCAACTCCAAAATAGAAGTACAAATTTTCACAATATTTTTTGTTATATTTTTTATGAAATATTTTTCTCAGGTTTGAAAATTTCTTTTGGTACCCATCTGTTTTAATAAAAAACCCCTAATACTTATTAATTTATTATGTGTTAAACACTGTGCAGGTATCACTTTTTTAATATGCCTAACAACTTGTGAAATAAGGTTTGTTGGCCCCATTTTATAGTTTAGGAAACTGATGCTGAGTATGTGCCAGGAAGTGATCCCATGTGAACTTCTTAATTCTTTCAACATTGTTTTGTGTTTGTTTTTTAAGATAGTCTCACTAAGTAGTTCTGGCTGGCCTTGAACTCACTGTGTATCCCAGGCTAGCCTCAAACTCATGGTAATCCTCCTGCCTTAGCCTCTTAAATGCTGCAATTACAGGTGTGAACCACCGCACCTGGCTCTTCCAATAATTTTACACGGTAATATTACCCATATTTACAGAGGATGAAATTTAGACAGAAAAGTTATTGCAGTTGCCTAAATTTATACTAGAAAGTGATAGAACCAAGATTTGAACCCAGGCATTCCATCTCTGATGTATAATTGATTAGCTGTCGCCCTATATAGCTTCTATTACCTAGTTTTGTTATTAACTTCTTTGATTTCTGTGATGTATCTGCCTATTCATTGATTCTGTCTTCTGTTCAACTGCAATGGATTGTATAAGTCCATCTCTGTGTGTGCGTTAGTGTGTGTGTGTAGTAATAATTTATATAACATCATATGTCTTTCAAATCAAGCCCCATTGCATTGTTTCTAAGAATCACTCAAGTATTGCATCCCTAAAACCAGTCTGATCTCATCTACAATCTTTGGTTTTGTGTTAGGACCAGTCTGCTCCAAGGCTTCTCCTTAAAATTCTTCCCTTGACATGAACGTAGTAGCCTCAAGGCTGAAGATTCTTGAGAGAATACTAATGTAATTCTTTAACTCTTTTCCAGGGATTCTGGCCAGCTTCTCTTCCTTCTAGCAATTCTGGTTCCCAGTCCTGATTTATTGCACTGGCTTTAGGCAACTAACCCTCGGTCCCAAATATGGTCCCCAAGTTTTACTACAGCTGTTAGATAATTTAAACTTCATAGCAACCCTATGAAGTAGTTACTAAAATCTCCATTGTAAAATTACCTTTAAGGCTGAGGATATTGATTTATATGTCCAGTATTGTTACACAGTTAACAAATAGCAGAACTGCTCTGAAGTCTTCAGTGTTTTCAAATTTGTGATACAGCCAATAGAGTACCAGGCACGCAGAACTGACCGGTTCTTTTCTCTCCCTTCCCTTCCCTTCCCTTCCCTTGCTTAGCCTTTCCTTCAGTGGTACAGATGACGCTGTACATTCTCACACCCTCTCGTGTCTTTCTGAATGGTCACACTGGTTACGTGTTTGAGGAGATGATATAAAGGTGATTACAGACTGATAGGAAACATATGCAAGGAAAAACACATGAAATATTTCAGCGTTTTTATAATTACAGATGAATTTCAATAATACGTATGTCATATGTTTTGAAGGTGGAGGTAGAGTACATGTGATTTAGTACATTTTTGCACCTACTTTTCTTTTCCATCGCAGTTTCCAAGTAACTTAGAATATTGAAGTTTATGAAGAAAAAGCCCTTATTGAATCTTGGGCAAGTGCTGCTGTAAGTGGGAGAGGTCTTTAGAGGAATTTAAGGAATGGTGTTGGAAATATCCTTAGTATGCCAAATATAAACTCTTCAGGGAAGCTGAGATTTAAGTAGTTTTCCTGCTTTACAATATTACCAGCTAGTTTTCTGAGTTAGGGAGGGAAATGTGAAAGTTTTTCTTTAAGCCAAAGTGGAATGGTATTTGTGTTGAATTAGGTTTTCAGTGAAAAGAAAAAGAAGAAAAATATGAAGAATTTTTGCTTTGGCATGAGTGTTGCCCATGTAACCTGCAGTTTTTACCTGGGGCAGCATGGCCATCTGGGATCTCCTGCCTCTTGGCCTTGCTTTTGTCAATATGATTCCCGGAGACATTCTAGGGATGATTTGAGGAATAAGGAGACCGTTCACTGAACACCAGAGTATGCTCTTTTGCACGATAGTCCAAACAATATCTGAGTGAATCTATTTAAATTATATTGCTCCCCGATTACTCTGTTGGCTCACTTAAGCTTACACAGTACGTAATAGAAATTATACATATGCTAACGGTGACCTTACAAGCTAATTTAAATAACATTTTTTTAGTTACTGTAGATATTATTTATTGTAATAAAAATTCTAAAAATGTTGGGTGATAGAGCCTTTCATGGGGTCTGCAGAGAAAACAATCAGAAAG